CCAATTTCAACAAACTTCAGTCGATCGATACGGCAAAAATTTGTATGGTAAGCATGGTTGTTTTGTACATCGTCAGAAAGCCTTGGACCTCAGCTACGCGTAGAGCGCCATTTTAGCTGTCTCCTAGCAACAAGACCTCCCAAAAATGAGGGCCAAACGTACCGATACTATAGTATCGGTTCGCTTATGGTAGACCGGTAAAGGGTTAAGCGAGGTCTGACTGTACTATTTTAATACAGTGCTGCTCTAGTTAGATCCCACGTCACGCACTCACTCGATTTGAAGCCCAGACCTTTTTTGAATGTAATCAATGTGCAAGGATTTTTGCAATATAGTCACTACAAGCTCTTGCACATGACTATGTCTTATTTTATTATTATTATTATTCTGGGATGACGACTACACCATAGCTCAGTGGTTAGAGCATCGCTGGCTACAAGCGAGGGTCCCTGGTTCGAGTCCTGGTGGTGGCAGTCAATTTTTTCTTCAGACTTTTCCCGTTTGTCTCTTTCCCTCAAACCAGTTAATATTATTATTATTAACTGGTTTGAGGGAATTATTATTATTATTATTATTATTTGTGGAAGAGAAAAAGACATATGGATACGAGTTAAGAGTAACTCTCCATCACTGTAACATGATACTATATACAGTCAGAAAGTGCAATAACTAGGCACAAAACTGACAGAGTACTGAAACATTCGACGTCCTGACACCTAGCTTCAACACATCTCCGTAGCCGTCGAATGTTTCAGTACTCTGTCAGTTTTGTGCCTAGTTATTGCACTTTCTGACTGTATATAGTATCATGTTACAGTGATGGAGAGTTACTCTTAACTCGTATCCATATGTCTTTTTCTCTTCCACATTTATTTATGGCTCAACATCCGAGTTTCAAATTATTATTATTATTATTATTCACTAGTTTGAGGGAAAGAGACAAACGGGAAAAGTCTGAAGAAAAAATTGACTGTCACCACCAGGACACGAACCAGGGACCCTCGCTTGTAGCTAGCGATGCTCTAACCACTGAGCTATGGTGTAGTCGTCATCCCAGCAGAGACTGTTCAACATTTTCTTCAGACTTCGTAACTCACACTTCCTGTGAATCCACACAGGCGGGTGGGACGCAGCCCTCACTGTACCCACACACTTCACGTACACTCTAGCACGCGGGGAGCCCCAAGTCATAAAATCTTCACTAGTTTGAGGGAAAGAGACAAACGGGAAGTCTGAAGAAAAAATTGACTGTCACCACCAGGACACGAACCAGGGACCCTCGCTTGTAGCTAGCGATGCTCTAACCACTGAGCTATGGTGTAGTCGTCATCCCAGCAGAGACTGTTCAACATTTTCTTCAGACTTCGTAACTCACACTTCCTGTGAATCCACACAGGCGGGTGGGACGCAGCCCTCACTGTACCCACACACTTCACGTACACTCTAGCACGCGGGGAGCCCCAAGTCATAAAATCTTCACTAGTTTGAGGGAAAGAGACAAGCGGGAAAAGTCTGAAGAAAAAATTGACTGTCACCACCAGGACTTATTATTATTATTATTATTATACGCATTTCCGCGTTGAGGTGTAGCAGCAGTATGCTGCGTCCACAGCTTCGCTTATGCAGAATGGCTTGGGTGAGAGGAGAGGGGAGAGAAAGCAACAAGGCAACCAACATCTATGAAATAGGTCACAATAACATGAAGAGAACCAACCGACATATGCATGATTGCACAAGAATGGAGACGACAAATGGCTATAATCATTGTGCCACAAAACCGGTACACAGGAGATCTGTCGACAATGTAACGAAACATAAAACTCAGTTACTCAATACAGGTTCCACTAAACTACAAAAGAACAACGCTACAACATTAGAATTGCCGCTAAATTATCGCAAGTGTAGAGAACGAGTCCAATGCAAATGAAAACCATGGACAGACTGTCTTATTATAGATTACTGTAATTTCACAAATTTTCGGTACTTTCGGTGCGTCTGTTTCATACCTAAACTTTTGATACGCCGAACAAACACTAACACACCCAATCCAATAGGGAACTGCTTCTCTGTACCGAAAATTTCTGTTCACCTAACTTGGCCTGTTGCCCTCATACCGAAAATATTGAGCAAAATATTTCTGAAATTCGAGTATTTCTATTGTGTGCTTTCATTATGCAGAATGATCCCTCTGGGAACATCAGTGAGTCTCAACTCTAGAAATGAACCAGCCCAGTTCAATGGATTTGGCTCAAACTGCCCGTCAGCCAGTGTTCCACGCTCTACAGCTGCGTACAGCCAAGGCCATCCCAGTAACGTCACCGCCTCATCTACGACTGACCAGCAGTTACTGTCACTGCCCGACATGACGACAGCGGGTTGCGATTTGAGCTCTGTCATGATGCCATCTGACAGTGGCATTAGTCTGTCACCCGAAATCCTTCGCCTGGGCCATTCTGTTGCAGAGGCTCCCGGCTCAATTCGTTCATCTCGGCCGCCCCGCTCGATGACCCCTGGGGATGTTCTCAGCCCATCCGAGCCTCCGTCAAAGCTCATGTGTATCTCGCCAAGTGGCCGGGCTGGATCACAGCTCTGTACGCCTGGTGATGCGATCGATGAGAGCAGTCCGGCTCCTGATAACCTACGCCACCACCGCCTTTGTGATGGTCTTCAGAGCGCGACTAGCTCCGCCACATCTGCATCGTCAAACCATTTCCTCGGCGTACAACCTGGGGTGCCACTGATGCTGTCACCGGTTAGTACCCATCTCTCTCTTTCTCTCTCTCTCGATCTCTCTCGACTTGAGAAGAGATTGTTTGCGTGCATGTATTTTTTCTCTTGCTCAACCTGTAAACGGTACTGTTTCTTGCCTTGTGAACTCAGCAATGCAGCACAACGACATTAAACTAAACCTGGTACAGGTCTGCTCTCGATATATCAACTCTGACTTGTACATAAACCTCGTTCGTACATAAAAAAGCCAAATCCTGCGCCGAACAGCATCACTCCCATACAAATTTTGTTCTACACAACATAATCCTACATAACATAAACCTCGACATAACACACGCTGCGGCGGTCCCCGACGTGCGCACTCTCGATACAACAAATTCACGTGCACGGTATGAGCTAGGCAGTTTAGGCCAGTTTAGTCCTACATAACGTAAACCTCGGCATAACGCACCCTACGGCGCAGTCCCCGACGTGTACACTCTCGATACAACGTAGATTCACGTGCGCGGCACAATCAAGCTGTAGCCGTAGCTAGCCAGTTTAGTCCTATGTGCATTATATTCTGCGGCATTGATGGTATCTGATGTCGATGGTGGTACAGTGTGTATATGTTTGCACGGTTGAACCCGCCTTGTACAGTAATACCCTTCATTTTGAGGTGCATCTGGTATTTTACACACGGTTTTCTACATAACATGCATCTCGATATAACATAATGGTTGCGTGGTCCCAGAGATTACGTTATATGGACAGTAGACCTGTAGTACCAATGAGATGTCCATTGAAGTATTTTCACAAGTTCCAGTTACACGACTCACAGAGTAACCCACGTCTGCTTAGTTGTAAGACTGTGACTCATACTCTGGTGACTCGTGTGATATTGCCCTGCTCATGTGAGCCGATTGAGCGCTCTATATGACCAGAGGGCTTTGCTGTCTGTATTTCCAGTTATATACGTGTACCTCTATTCCATCTCGAATAACAGTTGGTACCCCGTGATGGCCCTCGTTAACCTGCCTTCTGTGATTTGTGTTTACTATTTTCAGGGATCGTTACACAGTTTAGACGGAAGCTGTTCACTGCCACACATGTCACGCTTGAACATAACGGGCGCCGGCAGTTCGTTTACCAGCGACATATCTATCAAAGCCGACATGGATGCTGTGGATGGCACGGTCGGCAGTGACGCGCTTGCTGGCATCTTCAATTTCGACATGTCACTGCTCAGTCCGAGCAACGACTTTATGAAACTACAGTCTACACCGGGTGGTATCATGCCTTCGCAGGCACTTCTCAGTGGGAATTCACCGGTAAGTCCTGGCTTGCGTCACGATCATTCTCCCTGTAGCTCGGGCCTTCGCAGCACTGCATAGTAGTAATACTCATGCTCAGGGACACGGCGATGCGGTGTTCAAATCCACAATGCAATGTAATGTCCATACAGAGCCGCAACAGCGTAGATCCAGTGTGTTTCGATTTCCCGGCTTCTTGATTATATTGGACGACTTCAAAATTTCACACATGGTGCACTCATGCATGCAGGGCAGGGCATTTTTTGTAAGATTCTGACAGTTCCCGGTTATAAGTCGAATCCCGGTTGTAAGTCGACCCCGCCCTTTTCTCCTTCTATTTTTAGTCATAAACGGTCGACATACAACCGGAAAATACGGTATATAGCGACACGATTCAAGGCCACAACATCGGTGCTAGTGCTACTACCGCAGATCGACGCGTTTAGAGCGCGTGCACATGTACATATCACTACATTCATTCTAGAACTACGATAGAGCGACACTTGAGCAGAGGGTCCGCACGTGTCACATCCTCTGTACAACCGTAGATCGACGCATTAACGTATTCATATTCCTTCTATCGCGTTTCTAAACGAATATCAATCGGATATTCGAATATTCCTTGCAACCCTAGTATATAGTCTTGTGTTCATTTCTACACGTGGGAATATATTATTATTTTTGTTGATGCTTTGTTGCACTGTTGTGTCGATACAGTCGGCCTACCCTTATAACGATAACCTCTATAACGATATTACCCTTATAACGATATTTTTCTGCCAAACCTAATCACTCCATTGACTTGTGCATGCAATGTCTTACCTCTATAACAATATTGCTATAACGATATTACCCCTATAACGATATAAAATGGGCTGACCAATCGACATTTTCCATTTTATAACAATATCTAGCAGGGATTATGTAGAGCCTGTAGCGGTGTCTACTTAGAGTAGTTTCGCCTGACTGTTTATTGCAAAAGGGGGAACATTATCGGACACGGAAAAGCACAACTAACTGTAAGGAGAGCAGAAACGAAGAGGTGGTTCCAATCGGGAATCACTGTGTAAAGAAGACAGAGAGCGGAATGGACGGCGGTGCTGCGTGCATACAGCAGCGACCGGAAGCAGCGTGCCCAGTACGGGATGCCATGTATAGATGGAGCCCGAGGGCAGTGCACTCAGACGTAGACATGAATACGCACGCGCACCCGAGTACTGCATTCAGTGCATGCGGGGACTGTGCCATAGAAGGGGAAGGGTTAGTGATGCGCAGCCAGCAAGTGCAGCGGTACATGAATGCATGAGTCAATGGTACAGCAGGCAGGCTGCGGGCTGAGTGCGGTTCTTATACAAGTACACACGTGACGTTAGATCAATGCGAGTGAGTGTAGGGAGTAGGAAGGAGAAACCTGGAGACAGACAATGATATGCCTAGGGATAGAGTTCTGTCATGATGCTACTCATTATACTACATCTCCCCTAACGGAAAGAGTTGCAGGCCCAGTCAATGCTATGCCCAGGGATAGAGTTCTGTCATGATGCTACTCATTACACTACATCTCCCCTAACGGAAAGAGTTGCAGGCCCAGACAATGCTATGCCCAGGGATAGCGTTCTGTTATGATGTTACTTATTACACCACATCTCCCCTAACGGAAAGAGTTGCAGGTCCATGTTTACATTGTCGAGATGAGCCGCTCCGGTGCAATGGCTGTGCGACCTGAACAGGTAGTGGAGGTGGCACTTGTGTTGGGCTCGGCGGCAGCAGGCATGCCGTTTTGGCTCGCCACAGGAGTTTCTCCACCGCTTGGTGGCTTCCGGCTGCTGTGAGGTGTTGCAGTGAGCCGTTGCAGTAAGCTGTTGCAGTCAGCCGTTGCAGTAAGCCGTTGCAGTGAGCTGTTGCAGTGGGCCGTTGCAGTGAGCCGTTGCAGTAAGCCGTTGCAGTAAGCCATTGCAGTAAGCTGTTGCAGTAAGCCGTTGCAGTAAGCCGTTGCAGTGAGCCTGTGCAGTAAGCCGTTGCAGTAAGCCGTTGCAGTAAGCCGTTGCAGTAAGCCGTTGCAGTAAGCGGTTGCAGTGCTGTTGCAGTGAGCCGTTGCAGTGAGCTGTTGCGGGATGCCATGTATAGATGGAGCCCGAGGGCAGTGCACTCAGACGTAGACATGAATACGCACGCGCACCCGAGTACTGCATTCAGTGCATGCGGGGACTGTGCCATAGAAGGGGAAGGGTTAGTGATGCGCAGCCAGCAAGTGCAGCGGTACATGAATGCATGAGTCAATGGTACAGCAGGCAGGCTGCGGGCTGAGTGCGGTTCTTATACAAGTACACACGTGACGTTAGATCAATGCGAGTGAGTGTAGGGAGTAGGAAGGAGAAACCTGGAGACAGACAATGATATGCCTAGGGATAGAGTTCTGTCATGATGCTACTCATTATACTACATCTCCCCTAACGGAAAGAGTTGCAGGCCCAGTCAATGCTATGCCCAGGGATAGAGTTCTGTCATGATGCTACTCATTACACTACATCTCCCCTAACGGAAAGAGTTGCAGGCCCAGACAATGCTATGCCCAGGGATAGCGTTCTGTTATGATGTTACTTATTACACCACAGAGCCCACTATCCAGGTAGGGCAAGCTTCACTTGACAAGTCGCTGGGACATGACGAAATGCAATGGGGGCACCAGTGGGCACCTTGCTATGTACATAATGTGCATGTACGACAGTTTTTGATGATATGAAGAGCGTAAAAAATGAACAAAATCCATGTATTATGACGTATGTGTATGAAATGAACCAGTTACCCCTATAACAATATTACCCTTATAACAATATTTCTTGGTGTAACGCAAATATCGTTATAAGGGTAGGGCGACTGTACTTTGTTGCACTGTTGTGTCGATGCTTTGTTGCACTGTTGTGTCGATGCTTTGTTGCACTGTTGTGTCGATGCTTTGTTGCACTGTTGTGTCGATGCTTTGTTGCACTGTTGTGTCGATGCTTTGTTGCACTGTTGTGTCGATGCTTTGTTGCACTGTTGTGTCGATGCTTTGTTGCACTGTTGTGTCGATGCTTTGTTGCACTGTTGTGTCGATGCTTTGTTGCACTGTTGTGTCGATGCTTTGTTGCACTGTTGTGTCGATGCTTTGTTGCACTGTTGTGTCGATGCTTTGTTGCACTGTTGTGTCGATGCTTTGTTGCACTGTTGTGTCGATGCTTTGTTGCACTGTTGTGTCGATGCTTTGTTCCACTGTTGTGTCGATGCTTTGTTGCACTGTTGTGTCGATGCTTTGTTGCACTGTTGTGTATCTGAAGAATGTCATTGTGTACTGTTGTTTCTCTGTGCAGCTGAGTGGCTGGGAGCAGGTGACGTACGGTAAGACTGAGTCTCAACGATGGCTGACACAGCAAGCGCTTAGTTTACTCCGCGCTGGCTCGCCCGCGACCGCTCATGTTCAGAACAGCGTGGCGATGTTTTCGTGAGGCCGCTAGTCTGGGTGTGTATTTATTACTTTCTTGTCGGTTCTCTCATTAATTATATCAGTATTGTTTGGTGCCACTCTTCTTTCTGCTCTGCAACAAGTGATATTATTAGCCTCATCTTCTTAGGGTTTCTACAGTTGACATACCGCATTCCATAAAACTTATTCTTTTTTTACAAAATTTAGGGGACCACACTTTCCAATTGTTGAACATTGACCAAAGTCCTAAGTATGTTAGTGTTCTTTTGTTTGCAGGATCTGCAGGCAGCAACTGAGATTGTTTGCTTATTTCTATGATTTGCTGACTGTGCTAACTTATCTATTCCGTTTCCGTTGTGCGGATTCGCTTCACATCATACATGTATTGGTTCCGGAGTGTATTTTGACGTTTCAAAAGATCAACTCACTTTCTGTTTTCTCTTACCGTTCTTTGTAATTCTATAGGCTGCGACTTGAGAATGTTTCATTACGCATCCAGAGACCTATCCCTTTGTTGTCTACCCTTTTATTATGTTGCTCTACTCACCCCGTCCCTCCCTTTATCTCTACCCTCGTTTTTGCTCTACGAGCACAAGGGTATCAGTCTTCAACTGCCATTCACGTTCGCCTGTTTGCTCCGTTTCTATCGCTCTGTCCTGCTGAAGGATTCATTAGAAACTACCTTCTAACATTATTCTTGAGAAAGAGACCAAAGTGTCCAATTCAGTATCAGCAAGAGTCCATCAACTGTCTATGTGCCCTTGCCTGGCCCCGGCCCCGGGGGAAATCGGGGAAGAGAAGCTCAAAACTTGCGGGGATTTTGCGATGTTTAGTAAACTAATACTTGCAAGCGGATTGGCCAATCTACCGGTTTGTCTGCCAGAAAACTGCGAATTTTTCTACATATACAAGGAAGAGGGTTGAGAGAGTGAAATGGGAATTTACATCATGAAATACTACAAGTACACTCAACTTCGCTAATAACGACTGCGGGTATAACGACAGAATTTCCATGCCCAGAGCAAAGTCCCATCCAACTGTAATACAGAATAATGAGACTCTGGGTATAATGACACTTCGCGAATAACGACAATTGTTTGATGCCCCGCCGAGTGTCGTTATAAGCAGTGTACTACTCCCTGGTTATGCAAAGTTGACTGTACATGCACTTCAGTCCTCAAGTAATGTGTCTGCTACTCGAATTCTACAGACTTTAGTTATACTGAGTGACCGGACCCCGGCCATGCATGTGACGCAAGCACAGTCTTGGTACAAAAATATAGCAATTTTTTGTGCTGGACATCCTTGGGCTCTGCATTCTTTGCCTTTGGCATACGGCTCCACTGTGCAGTGCCACGACCCTGACTCTTGGCCACATGCACATGTGCTCGAAAAGACTTGTTTCTGCTTCATGAAATTGATAGAGCAGGTGCTTTAGTCATAATAATTCATCACGCTGGAGACTCGGGCCCCGACATGGTTTGAGCAAATAATTGTGGCAAATTGTGGAGGTGTAAATAATCCTAGAAACAATTCAAGTGAAGTAAAGACTTTGATTTTGTACACATAGAAATCAGCTGCCGCCTAGATGCATCTCATAATCAAAAAATAATAAAAATTTAATGTGTCTCAAAAGGTTGCAGACATAACCATATGACACAACTCCGTGCTTATGTCATAGTACTCAATCTCGCCAAATGTATGGCTATGTCTGCAACCTTGACACTGTTTATAGCTCTTGCTGAATTATTGCGGCTGGCCCGCTGATTGTTCATAAATACGTCTGCAAGGCAAAATGCGGAATAATTCTTGACCATAACCGTGAAATTGGCCAGCAAGTGAATAGCTAGTGCCCAAGAAAAAGAAAGGAAAAGAAAGATGAGAAGAATTGCGCACTGAAAAGCCGGATGTCCACCTCATCAGATTTACTAATACCGGTAATACAGTCTAAAGTGACCTACACAAGTATCGTGTCCATTGCATGGATGAAGCGCTCTGCATACTCGTTGACGTTCACCGCCGATATGCCATGCGAGTCCATGCAGCGGATATTGGACTTGAAGAAGTGCTCTGCCTTCTTGGAGAAGTTGTAGCTTTGCAGTATGTCGATGAGGCCCATGTAGTAGACGCTCCAGACCTTCTCCTCACGCTTGACAGCATCGCCTGAAGCCGCCTGAGACCCTTGGCCACTACCGTCACCACCCGTGGCTACGGTAGCCGCACCACTCCGGCGACCGCTGCCAATTTCATGTAACGCTGACTCGGTGACGGACAAGTTGTCATCGCCCGCCTGCGGTCCCGAAGGCGGCTGCACTGGCGGCAGGCCGAGCAAGCCGCCGTAGAACGAGCGATGCCACGGCATAGGCAGGTCGGCGTCTGATTGGTCGATGGGCGGTGTCATGTGTGGAGGCGGCTGACCTAGCCCTCCGGCCAGCGGTGGCAGTGAAGAATTTACGCTGATGCCGCCAATGGGAGAAGGCGGAACGTAGCCAAGAGATTGAGCTGGATCCCGGCGCGCTGTTCGACTGTCCTGACGCGAAGCTCCCAGTGAACGCTCTCTCATTTCCATGGAGGGCAGCTCTTCTCTGGGATCATTTTCAAAATCACGGATCCCAATCAGCAGACTGCAGGCAAACACCGATAGAATGAAGGGAATGCAATATGAACAAGAGTTAACATGTGTTCGCTCCAGCACACGTGCAGTGCGCAAGCAAGACTTCAAGGATACATATACCTCCAAGAGCATGGCCATGCACTCTTCATGCACTGTGTTTCCAATATTCTCGCTCAGTGGATTTTCAGGAAGACACAACAGAAGATAGTGGACCACTAAGTCCTGTCAGCAGAGTAGCAGCATGCACACACACACACACACACACACACACACACACACACACACACACACACACACACACACACACACACACACACACACACACACACACACACACACACACACACACACACACACACACACACACACACACACACACACACATGCACACATGCACACACACACGCACGCACACACACACGCGCGCACACGTACGCACACACACACACACACACACACACACACACACACACAACTGGCATGTTGCCATGAGGGTGTGGAAGGGGGGGGGGGGTCTCGTGGGGTCCTGGGGTATCCCCTGGTGTGGTCCTGGGTGTGGGGAAGTGCCACTTTGAAAGATATAGTGTGCATCTGGAAAATACTGAATAACTCAACATGTGCTGAGCTTGCGGAGCGGTTTCCAGGCCACCAGAAACCACTACCAGCTATGCCTCCGCCTTCCTCCTCCCTCCCCCCCCCCCCCCCTCTCTCTCTCACCTGTAATCCATAATCCCAATGCTGGCCAGGAATCCGACATCTTTCCGTAGCTGTGCCATCAGGCGCTGCTTGGCCTCGGGACCAACACGGATCTTGCGATCAAGATCACCATCCTTTAGCGTCAGCTTACTGAGGGGCATGTTTCGCTTCTTGCCTTTCAGCGTGCGGCGAGCGACCCACGAACCTTTCAGGTCATAGCGCTCGTTTGGCTTCAGGAAGTCTGTCGACGGGAAGATGTTCTCCATGACCATGAGTGATATGTATTTCTGCTCTGGGGACAGGCGCATGGCGTGCAGGCCGAAGAAGCGCGTCAGCAATGAGTCCGGATTGGAGTGCAGATGGAAGAAGTAGTCACGCACATGCTGGTCGAGCAGCGCCGTCTCACTGTCCGTGACCGTCTTCACAATGTAGCGATTGTCGTGCGTGAAGTAGAAGAAGCTGCCACTGCGCCCCTCCGTGAATTTCTCCATCATTGCCGAATTGCCCTTGGATTTGGATATGTTGAAGGACTTGCAGTAGGTGATGGGGTCTACGCCGCGCAGAGACCGGACACAGCTGAACACCTCCGGAGAATAGTCACGGAAGTCAAACGATGTACTCTGCAGCGCCGTTGGACAGTGAATACGCCGACTGCGGACGCCACCCGTCGTCTTCAGCCACAGCTGCAGCTCTTGGCGCTGTGTGTGGAAGTTGTTGAGCTGCGAGCCGACATCCCCATCGCCTGACACGCTGGGCTCTCGATCTTCAACATTATTAATCTGCATGTGTGTCTGTGCACGGAGAGAGTCTTCAAACCCGGTCACAGAGAGATTAGGCGGCCGGATGTTAACCGGAGCAGAGTCAACTATGCCCCAGCTCGTGCAAATGATCATATCGTGACGGAGCACTGAAGATACTTCCAGAGCTTGCGTCTTATCCAGCAGAGTTTCGTTCAGAGAGCTTCTGCCAGACTCTTCCAGGTCATCACCCGTCCATTTTGCCCACACGCGCCGTGATCGAAAGCGCAACTCCTGCATGGACAACGAGCCTGTGCCAAACCAGAGGAGGAAATCAAAGAAACCGCGCAAGCCTTCTATGATTGCAAATGTGATTGCAACGCCGTGCAGTTTGTTTTGGTAGTTGTTAGCATACGGCTCCTTCAGCGCGTTGGGAATTAAGTAGCTGTCTTGGACGAGATACAAGATGAGGCGCAGTGCCCACTCAATGGCAAACGCCACTACATAGAAGAAGCCAAAACGCACCACTCTCCGCCGTGTCTCTCCGCTAGCTGGCAGTCCACGGTTCAGAGCGATTGTGGCGAAGATGACCACGCCGAGAGAGACAACACAGAGTACCAGATGGGGCCCGTAGTAGATGCCCCACGCCCAGTCAGATGTGTTTTTTAGATCACCGGCCGCATCCACAGTAGACCTATTGGCACCCAGCGATAGGATGTGATCACTGCTCCAGCAGTAGTTGAACACAGTTACTCCTACAGTAGCAGCAACAGCACACAGAGAAATATCGCCACAAATTTCAAAACAATCAAGATGGATAATATTATGTTGTGCTTCAAACACAAAAAAACTACAATGCTCTGATTTACACTTCATTCTGACATTCTAACTTGTGGCCCCATCAAGAAAGAACTCTTGATTAGTGTGAGTTGCCGGCAGGATGAATGGAACTATGGAAAGTGACCGTATGATTGCAGCAGACATAAGTCGATGTATTAGTGCTGTTTTTGGAAAAAATTGTACATCTTCTTAGAAGGAAACCAACTACTACTCGGATGTTGTTTTGAGGACATAGAATAACTGGGTGGGGTGGTGCAGTACTACACTGCATCAATACACATACCTAAAGCAAGCTGTGGCACAATAAGAGAGTGCTCAAAACCAAACACATCCAATGGGCATTGTAGTCAGTGCCATCATGTTATATGTACGCGGCCTAAGTGTCTGCCAGGTAGCTTTCAGGTCTTGATTTACTGTCCCTATTTAGTTCTACTCACCATAATTGCCCGTCACAAGCACAATGCCAGTGATGATGCTAGTAACATACACCACTAGATAATAGTACGGCATGTAGTCGGCATTCGAGCTGAACAAAATACGGATGCACAGACAGACAGACAGACAGACAGAGAGGCGGACGGACAGACAGACAAAAGGAGAGTTACTTGACCACTCCGTAGGGAGACAGAGCTTTAGCTGATCACGAATGACCTTTAAAACACGTTTCGACCATGCTGGTCTTCTTCAGAAAGAAAACAAACCGGATCAGAGAGGCATATTCAGCACGAGCTTGATCATCTGCACAACTACACATCAGGAACAGTCCAGCGAGAATATCTATCAACTACAATTCAAGACAGCTAAACCAGGCAACAGGACTCTGAGAACTTCACAACAGGAGCACAATTTGATGCTGAAGACCACCAGCATATACATTGTATTATATTATTAACGTTTCCACACATTTTTGCCTTCTCAGCTCAGCCTGATAGCTTCTGATGGTGTTTCCAACATTCAGCAACCCTCAAGGCTGATGAACTGACCGCCGCCACTAACTTATTGTTTTACACCATGCTGTACACATGCTGTACACATGCTGTACATGTGCATGCACTTTTAAAAGCACTCCTACAACACGGAGCTCCCATGTATGTGATGTATGTATTTCCCGTAACCCTGGTAACCATACTGCCCATTGGGGCATCAGATGCGTCAGTACTGAATGTACCAAAGAATTTCGATCTGTTGCGAAACTGACTCGTTCGAGCAAACACCTCAGCTCAATTGCTCTAATTCGATTCAATAGGATCCTGAGAGTTGGGCAAGCCCATATCTTCTTCACTGATTATATTTCAGAATGCTCTGTCTCGGTATCAACATGTTTCGCCTAGTTTTCTAGCTGTTGATAGCTAAACAGAATAGCTGGCAACCACTACATGGTCTGAGCCATTCTATAATAATAATACTGTTCAAGGGTGGCTTCTCGCTCCACCTCATCTACTTTTTATCTTAACTTGCAGCTTCACGGTAATTGTTATATTAAAGGTGGAGGCGGATGTGAGAGACATACAATGTACTGTCCACTGTGTCCAGGAAAACTAATCCATCTTTGCATATTCACACCCCTATAGATTAGAGAGCAACGAGAGCCTGACGATGGGTCACTGGTCCGAACCGTCAAAGCTTTAAAACAATACAGTACAGTAGTACAAAGAGGCAACTTTGTGATGAAGTTGCGTGGAGACGAGAAACGATTTTTGAAGTTTGTGGACTCCAAAGTACAGAGCGTGAAGCCAAGGAGAGTAGTTTCATAGGTTTCCTTACTACAGTAAGTTTCTTGCTTCCATCGATAAGCATGCTACTGACTGAGCCCAGCATTATTCCTGCAAATGCCGGTGACTGACAATATAACCAATTTCAAGGGGGGGGGGATGAAGCACCGAAGAGTTAGGTGTACATGTTTGTACCTGAATGGATTCCGCACAGCCAGAAATAGATCAACACTGAGGACAAAGTACCAACTGTTTGATCCGAACAAGGCAATCTGCAGCACATACAAGAGGAGCGAATGAAACAAGAGATTTCAGTCTACTTGAAGTAGTCAACTGAATTTGAAAACTCCCGGTGACTGCAGCTGTATTTAAGGTGTTGAATAAGTTGGCAGTGAAGAGCCTAAAGACACACCTGGTGAAATGGTGGTAAATACTCACGCCCGGCACATTGCTGCAAAGTTACACTTTGGCACAGAGCTCTCTTTCTCACCACCATCAGTTTGTCCATGGCACCTAGGGGCTGGTGGTATCTGACATAGTGGCGGGCTGATACATCAGGCAGCCTGCGGCACGTACAGGATGACATGGCTACAACTTGGCTCGATTGCGATGCACGCTTCATCGCCGTTGAGCCAAGTCGTAGCTGTGTCATCTTCTGCTCTTCCAAATTTCCGTCTACAGCTCCCAATGATGCAGGGCTTTAGTGTTGCATTCGGCCTTGCATCCACACAGGGCGTGCTGAGGTGCCTGAGCTTCCCCAGTTGTGCTGTATCTTGCAAGCATTGCCATGAGAACCTGCCAATTAACAGGCAGGGAGTGATGTACATACAGCGCACAATCATGTCACGCATCATGTACCGACAAGAGCTTAGTGCAGTCATAGTGACTTCATACGTCAGGTAAGCCATCTACAAATAACCATACCTGATAGATGAAGCTAAGAGCTCTGCACTTGCTCTTGACTTGGTCTGGAGTCGAGAGATTGGGGCCAGACCGACTCACTATGAAAATATAGGTGATGATATGGCTGAGGCAGATGACCAAATCCAGCATTGTCCTGCCGCAACACCACCGTCGTCACCGACAACAATAACAACAACAACAACAACAACAACAACAACAACAACAACAACAACAACAACAACAACAACAACAACAACAACAACAACAACAACAACAACAAAGAACTCAAACAACAACAACAACAACAACAACAACAACAACAACAACAACAACAACAACAACAACAACAACAACAACAACAACAACAACAATGGCAGTGATATAATTATAGTGAGAAAATAATATTTCACATAGCAGCAGCAGCAGCAGCAGCAGCAGCAGCAGCAGCAGCAGCAGCAGCAGCAGCAGCAGCAGCAGCAGCAGCAGCAGCAGCGGCAGCGGCGGCAGTGAAACACAACAAAAACAGAAATTTAAAAGTAGTGTTTGGTGCGCCCAATTGGTGGAGGCTGCGGCGGATTGTTCCAAAGATATTAGAACTCCCTCCATAAGTTCATATTCATATCCCCTTCCATGATGACCCGATGATATAATTGTTATTCGCATTATCTGGGAAGTTGTGGGAACCACTAATACCGTATTTCCCCGAATATAAGTGGCACCTTTTTACACCTAACTTCAGGGCCAACAAAGGGGGTGCAACTTACAATCGAGCATGATTTACTACTGAAGTGAATATATTGAAATGATGTGACATGGATCCGGAAATGGGGGTGCGACTTACAATTGAGTGCGACTTACAAACGGGGAAATACGGTATTTCTCCGAAACAAAACGCCCGATTTTGGAACGCCTTCGATTGGGGATTCTTTCACCCCCACTGACCAAGGCCTCAGGCCCAAGAGGAATTGATGTGTTCTTAGTACTTCTTACTTTCATTGACACCCTGAGAGTGAGAGTACAATGCTGCATGTGTTACTTACATGTCCGGCCCTTTTTAGGGGGGGGGGGGGGAGAGGAGGAGGATAAACTGTCATTAACTTGAAGCCTTGAAGCAACCAATGTGTACTCAGAACACCAATACAGTACAAGGCATTGTGTGCGGCTATCGCGTGGCTTGCAGTATGTATCATGTCCCACCAGTATCACGGCTATACGCTGCATGTACTCGTATACTCTGAGGCATCTTGTTTATCTCTTAGGCAATAGCTTGCTGTGCAGTACCCGCAGTGACTGGTGACACACATGCCTGTTATACCCACACGAGGGATTTTGGGAGTGGTGGTGGCGGGTGTGTGTGTGTATGGATGGGGGGGGGGGGGGGGGGTAGAAGGGAGTTTTACCCCAACCATGCATACCGAAGAGGTGGTAGCGCTTTCGGGAATACTTCAATGCCTGGCAACCACGCAATCCCTTGCTCTACGTCACGAAGCACTTCAAGTACGGATGACAACGAAACCCTAGCCGATGTGCGATTTACCGATTTCAGAGCCATGGGGTTAGGTTTGATAATGTCATGTGTACATGTACAGTCAAACCCCGCTTAACCGGTCCTCTTTTATCCGGTCCCTCACCATCCGGTCCTCTTTTATCCGGTCCTCTTTTATCCGGTCCCTCACCATCCGGTCCTCTTTTATCCGGTCCCTCACCATCCGGTCCTCTTTTATCCGGTCCTCTTTTATCCGGTCCCTCACCATCCGGTCCTCTTTTATCCGGTCCTCTTTTATCCGGTCCTCTTTTATCCGGTCCTCTTTTATCCGGTCCTCTTTTATCCGGTCCTCTTTTATCCGGTCCTCTTTTATCCGGACCCTCACCATCCGGAAGAAAATCGTTGGTTACCGATTTACAGCACATATTATGTCATGCATACATACAATATGTGTGTTCGACTATCCGGTTCCCTTGTCTATCCGGATATTTTCGTGGAAAACGGATGTATGCAGTTAAGCGAGGTCTGACTGTACTAGAAAGAGAGCATTCAGGACGTCGAGGCTGACGGACCTTCATCTTCAGATTTACACTCGTGCCACAACAGTGCAGCGTGGTGGATAATATAAAAGCAAGTGTCACATGATACAGGCATACTGTGTACTATGCACTACTCTCATATCCCTCTTAACCGGACCTCCGAGTAAGTACAGGCCCCTTGGTCTATCAGGCACCCTGTGGGTGCGTTTTGGTGGAAATATTATCACTCCTCTGCTATTTTTCTGTGGAAATACTACGAAATAGTGACGTCATATGCCAGATGTCTAGCGCTTCCCTATCAAAACGTATGTGACTGAGAGTCACGGACATAGTCATTTCCGAGCTTTGTGCAGTGCCCGGTTCCGGACCGCCCAGATAAGAGAGGTATGAGTGTAGTCACGGTATGAGCGGCATCGTGTTAGATCTTTTTACCTGTTAAACAGAAGCTCGGCGGGGTGCCGGCGCATCTTTGGCATTGTAACGTAACTGATGATGACGGGCAGGACAAACAGTACCGACGCCAGGCTGGTGCCAAAGTAGATGTCTCCCAGGTTCACATTGATATTACGCACAAACGTAGACAGGGCCAGCGTTGGCTGCTCCATGGCCATGCTATGCACCAGACTGATGGTAGTTAGTGTAGAGTGGCCAGACTCAGAGTGCCTGAGATTGAATGGCAATCGCCTACTGTAGTACACGTGTAAGTGGCTAGTAGTATACTGTAATGCTCTTTGATCTGCTTCAAATCCGTACACGGCGCATCACCATCACCAGCCCACTGAGCCGCGATTATTTCTAGATCACAAGTTCCGACAACACTTCTCCAGTCCTAGTCCACACTGAGGTCAGGTGACAGGATCACTGCTGGACGCTACTCACCATTGTCGCTAATTGATACCAACATTCAACATTCAACATTCCGGCGTGTCGGATTGACTGGAAACTACTTGTAGGTCTACCGACCGCCGTGTCGAGCAGACTTCTCAGTTGGTGGTGGTGGGACTCTTGACGGCGATTGTTGAGACCCCGGGTCCAGTACAACATTACTACTACTAGTGACTACTTCAACTGCTATCTACGAGCAATAAAAACAATTATGTGAGCTAGTGATTTGTGAAGCCGGCTGCCTGCATGGGTACCTGGTCCACGCCGTTATAGTTTGAGGATGAAGTACGCTCGTGCAACACAGGACTACCGTGATTATTACGATGTTTGACCGATCGCCCAGCGAGAGCATCTGCCGCATCCGAAATCTGCAAAACAGACTTCCTTTGAAAAGCGGCTTCATCCGGGGCGAGGAAATACAGCAAAGCAGAATAATGCTACCGATATTATCAAGAGTACATAAGTATTTACTCTTGATATAATATTAATACTAGTATTCTATGATTTCTATCGCCAAGAGTACATACCCCCCCCCCCCCCCCCGTTATGTACTCTTGCTATCGCCCGTAGTACTAGTACAGTGGTCCCTCTATAATCCGGCGCCATTTGTGCCACGAAAATCTGCTGGATTAGGGAGGGTGCTGGATTAACAAATCGGATTTACTGCTGCAATGTGCATGAAGAGGACATTTGGCTACTGAAAATTGTGCTGGTTTATCGAGGGTGCTGGATTATAAAGCGCCGGATTAGAGAGGGACGACTGTAGTAGACTAGTATACGACGTCACGTCAACGACCGACGTGACATAGTCAATAAAATAATACATTAGGACATTACATACCTCCGGCTCCGAGCCGAGTGACCCTATAATAGGGCCATTCGGCCCCGATATTATCATAATGGAAGCATCCTACTGTACTATTTTTACTAATGATCATGACTGCATGAAAATGTATGTACGAGTCTCATGATTATTATAGTACTGTCGGGACCGGGATGACAATGCATTTGGCCATATCGTAGCGACGCTGACAATTTGTTTAATTAAAATCATTCACATGACACACGGGGGCCGGGGGGGGGGGGGGGGGGTGCAGTGCAGATCAGCAGCTGTGCAGAGATACCGTTAATATGTTGTAGATGTCCATTCTGCCATGATAATAAATATTTTTAAAAATAATAATTATGAATGCGGCCGGGGAGGATGCCTGCCCGCATGCTGGCCTAGGGTCCGGCGGATTCTGCCGGCAGAAAAATTGGCAGAATTCGGTACTTTTTCTGGTAAGTTTCATGCATGTTTGGTATGTGGATAAAACAAATGGAGCAGAATTCGAGGAATTGCCCGCCATAAGGTTTGTATGGTTCTGCCAATTTCACTGCTTTTCGAGCAGAATCTGCCACCTTTTCAAGCAGAATCCGCCGGTCCCTACGCTGGACTGGAAACACGCGTGCATGATTTGCGCATGACCTGCTCAGAAATCCTCACGTGAATACGTTTTAAACACTCCGGCCCTGATCCCAGGCACCAATTCCGAAGTCCGTTGCGAAGATGATAGTTCACCTTCATTCTCACAGATATTGCGACAGTCCCGACTTTCAGATCTGTTCTCCCATATTGGGATAACAACAATGGGGGTTAGAAAAAATTTAAAATCATTGTTTAGCCTAGCTTGAGTGCTAGAGTATTAGAGATCTTTCTTTGATTTCATGACAATGGGGACATTTCTGCACCGGGCCTTCAAGGGAAATGCTCTACTGAAGGTCCGTTATCATTCGTGCATTGGGATAGTCAAGACACCGTACCCGGTACCCATGCTGTGCATTGTGTAGTGTTGTGCAGATCTGAACAGACACCGGTACTGCATGGCGGAAGCAAATCATGGTTATCATATTGGCATTATTGCCACATCACCAGGCTGGGCTCCTTCTTTAGGAATAGTGAGGTCAGCCATGCAGTGATTGTGCTATTCTGCTATGGCCGGGTAGTGTATGCCGATTTGTGCTGTATTGTTACATTCAGCCGTGCAATATACATGTACATGTATTGGAATACCGGCAACACATTCGGTTAGCCTCTCCACAGGCCCACGTTCTTATCCAAGC